TGTAACAAAATATTGAAGTTATTCTTGCTATGACAAAAATGTACTATTGTAACACAATATTAAAATTATTCTCGTTATGACAAAAATATTCATCCATAATCATTCGATATTCAAATCACCGCCCATAGTTAAAAACATTCTTCAATGATCAAACACCATAATTATCATACATATTCGAAACTGTCGAACATGTTGAACCTCGTACTTATTATTTGAAACAATAAAAAAGGAGAACCAAAATGTCAGCGAAAATAAAAACACAGAGGACGAATGCTGTTTAAAAATCAATTGCGTCCAACGTCGACAAGAACGACCAGTATTTTTTCCTTCTCCGCTTTTTTTCCGAGCTCTTTTACGATCTCGTGTGAGAACTGGTCCTCCTGATACACTTCGTTAACGTCGGAATGATTGGCGTTCGATGGAATCGCTGGAGGAATTTCAATGATACGAAAGTTTTCATTCGGAGTTTGAACTACATATTTAGTTTGCGGGAATATTTGGTGACGAAGAAAATTATGGAAACGGTGGAAGAACGGTGAGGGTTGTGGAATGTCTCAAACCCTTAATTTCTCAAAGCCCCAAATCTCTCAATTCTCGAATTCCTAAATCTTCAAATTCCAATAATATCAAGTGCTCAAATCCTCAAGTTCCAAAATCCTCAAATCTCCAATTTTTCAAAGCCCCATATCCTCAAACCCCTAAATTCTTAAATTCCTGAAATATCAAGTCCCCAAATCCTCAAACCCTTAAATCGTCAAATCCCCAAATCTTCAAATCTCTCAATTCTCGAAGTCCTAAATCTTCAAATTCCAAAAATATCAAGTCCTCAAATCGTCAAGTCCCCAAATCCTCAAATCTCCAATTTCTCAAACCCCCATATCCTCAAACGTCTAAATTCTTAAATTCCTGAAATATCAAGTCCCCAAATCCTCAAACCCTTAAATCGTCAAATCCCCAAATCTTCAAATCTCTCAATTCTCGAAGTCCTAAATCTTCAAATTCCAAAAATATCAAGTGCTCAAATCCTCAAGTTCCAAAATCCTTAAATCTCCAATTTCTCAAAGCTCCATATTCTCAAACCCCTATATTCTTAAATTCCTGAAATATCAAGTTCCCAAATCCTCAAACCCTTAAATCGTCAAATCTCCAAATCTTCAAATCTCTCAATTCTCGAAGTCCTAAATCTTCAAATTCTAATAATATCAAGTCCTCAAATCCTCAAATCTCCAATTTCTCAAACCCCCATATCCTCAAACGTCTAAATTCCCAAATTCCTAAGTCCTCAAATCCCAAAATCCTTGCCAACCATTTCGAAGTTTCCCTAGTAACCTAGCCTCAAAATTGTACCCAAAAATAATTCGAACGTTCAACATCGTTCTTCGATCCTAAATTACCATCGTCCTCGAGAAAAGCACGCACAGTAACGTAACTGCGAACAACGAAAGTTGAAAGGCTACTGTAAACTCGGTTACAACGTCCTATAAACTAAGGGATGTTCTTTTTGTCTGAGGCAATCAGGCTCCGACACGAAGCTTCGTTGTCCACGTTCGTCTGAAACAGACTATAAGCGCGATGTAACCGGTCAATTTTCACCATTATCGGGCAAAAAAAAAGGAGAAACCCGAACGATTTACAGCTGCGTCGCATTAAGTTGACGATCAGGGAGCCTCGCTTCTCAACGTTATGGCGGCTATTCGTTAGAAATTATCGCCGTCTGATAACCGCTAACAAGCCATTCCGTCGATTGCCATGCGCTTTAACTAAACGTGTTACATCCTCTTCTTTTTCTTCGTATTCTTCTTTTTTTTTAATACGTTCGAAAGTGTATAAACTGGGAGCTTGAGAAAATTTGGTATCTTTGGTGATATACGAGGCTGGTAGCAGCAATTAGTTGAACACCAGTTCGAGATGATTCTTCGTTTTATGGAATGGTACAGATGTTTTGATGGATACTTCGAATGGGTAGTATAGATACTCTTGAGTGGCAATTATGAATAGCGATTATGGTTTTTGAGATACTGTGAATGTTTGATTATTGTGGAAGCGATTAGGTAGCCAACATTTTGAGATGATTTATTTTTAATTCGTTCAAAGATATAAATTTGGGACATTGTAATGCATTATTGTAAAAGTGAAATTATCAGTGAGTTTGTAAGAATAAGGTGGTCACCATTTTGAGATGATTTATTTATTGAATATTATTTTTAATGCATTCAAAGATAAAAGTTTGGAACATTGTACTGCATTATTGTAAAAGTGAAATTATCAGTGAATTTGTAAGAATAAGGTGGTCACCATTTTGAGATGATTTATTTATGGAATATTATTTTTAATGCGTTTAAAGATACAAGTATAGGAACTTTATTAATAAAACTAACAAGAACAGTTTAAATAATTAAAACTACAATTCTACATTCAACGACGTCATTCTTAAAACCCTACCCTACACAAGTTTGAAACACTGTAAATATTAAATTATTGTAAAAGTGAAATTATCAGTGAGATTATAAGAATTGATGAGGGATGAATAAGGATCTTAATAAGAATGGAGAAGTGAAAGAAGAAGAAACTAGATGTAATAATCATTGTATCGCTGATCTAATTGGTATTCCATGCTGGTGGCTTGGTTTATTGCACCGTCTCCATTTGTATGCGAGGAACATTATACAGACGTGTTTGTCAGAACGAGGTGTAATGATAAAACGAGTATATGGTCGAAGAACGTGGCTGTAAAATTCTTGAGCAATTGGTTGGAAATTAATTTTTGCAAAAACTTAGAAATTGGAAATTAATTTTCAAAATTTAAAATCTTCTTTATCCCAAAATTAAAATTTCAGAAACCTATTCATACCTCTAAAAATTTCAAAAATGAAATAATTTAATCATTCCAAAATCCAAAAACTTAAGAATCCCATAACCTGCATTGCAGCCCAATATAAATCTCATTCATCAAAAAACTACCCTAATTTCACCCCTTTCCAAAAGAATGCATCTTTATTGCAAGCCGATTTCCCGTACCTCTATCCTCTATCGTAGATCGCCTAAGCGATAAGCGGAAATTTATGGCAAGTTCACCGTCATTTTTCGAGGGTTGATGCCCGCCAGACGACGGGGGTGGTTTGATCTCGTAGCGTTCGGCCCTTGAGCCAGTCTCTAGGGGGTAGTTAGTCCATCTGCTCGATTTTGAATGCGGTTACTTCGGGAAAGCTGTATCCTATTCGAACGTGTTAGAGGGGTGGTAAAGAAGATCTATCTTGGGGTCGGTTGCTTCGACTTGTCGACCGTGTCCATTTGAATAATGAACCGAACTTTATATGGACAACCGTCCTTTCGTTATGGTATCTGCTATGGGGGACAGAGTTTCTTACGAAATTTAGATATCTATTCGATTTCTGGGCGGGGACTACAGGAAATGGAATCGGTCGAATAAAATATTACTACGGTTAAATAAAAAGTATTCTTTATTGGGGTGAAAGCTGTGTAACATTGGGAAATCTTTTCTGGAATGTTATTTAGGAATTATTACTCGGTTGGACTGATTTTAGGAATTTGAAAGACGTACTATGGATTTTAGAGATTTTTAGGGATTTAGGATATTTTAGAGATTGTTTGAGTGACTTCTAGGGATTTTTAGGGACTTAGGGGTTTTTAGAGATTTTTTGAGTGGTTTTTAGGGATTTTTGGGATTTGAAAAATGTTCTGGTGGTTTTAGGCAGTTTGGGAGTATTTTATAGGGATTTTAGGAATTTTAGAAGCTTCTATATTTTAGGAATTTTTGAAATTGGTATATAGGGATTTTTAGAGAATTTTTGAGTGGTTTTATAGGGATTTTTGGGATTTGCAAGATGTTCTAGTGGTTTTAGGAATTTTTGTAGTGTTTTATAGGGATTTTAGGAATTTTAGAAGCTGCTGTATTTTAGGAATTTTTGAAATTAGTATTTAAGAATTTCTAGAGATTTTTCGAGTGGTTCTCTAGGGTTTTTTGAGATTTACAAGATGTTCTGGTGGTTTTTGGAATTTTAGGGATGTTTTATAGGGATTTTAGGAATTTTGAAAGCTTCTATAGTAACTTTAGGAATTTTTAAATTATTCTATAGTGATTTCAGGAGATTTTTGAAGATTTGTAAATTTCAAAATACCAAATTCCCTAGACTTCACATAGAGAAATATTTTTTTTTAATAAAAAAATTCCAAATTTCCCAAAATCTCCAGAGTTAAAAAAAATACCAAATTTCCTAAAGTTTCTAAAATTTCCAAAATGCCAAATATCCCAAATTTCCATAAATTTCTAGAGTTCAAGAAATCCTAAATTTCCTAACATTTCCAGAGTTCAAAAAATCCCAAACTTCCCAAAATTTCCAAAGTTAGAAAAATCCAAAAATTCCCCAAAATCCAGAAAACCCCTAGAGTTCTAAAAACCCCCAAATTTCCACAAATCCTAAATTTCCCAAAACCTCCACAATTGAAAAAATCCAAAATTTCCTCAAATCTCCACAGTTCAAAAAATCCCAAACTTCCCAAAATCTCCAAACTTAAAAATATCCAAAAATCCGCAAATTTACTCAAATCTTAAAAATTCCCCAAATCCCAAATTTCCATAAATTCCAAACTTCCAAAAATCCCCAGATCCTAAAAAACCCCAAACTCCCCAAAATCCCCACCCCAAGAAATGAAACCCACAAATCATGTGTCCCACAAAAAGTTGCCTAAGTATTTCAAATATTAGCCATAACTCTCCACGGAGATCTCCGAGCGCTAAAAATTTGATTAACCCCTAAATCACAAGTTTCAATTCGCGTTCGGCTACCCAGTTTAGCAAACTTAACAAAATCGCGCGATAAATTTACCCGAACGATTTCGTCTCTCGATAGCTCGATATTTCCCCGGTCTCCACTCTTCCTTTTCTCCCCGTTTACACGCCCGTTCCCTCGGATTATCCCGTACGATTCAGGTGTTGAGTTTCGAAAAAGAATAAAATAGCGGAAAGCGAGTGTACTCACGGCCACGCGGCTCTCTTTCAGCTCGAGTCTCACAGCCAGCGCTTCTCGCATAAACACATCAGGATAATGACTCGAGAGAAATGCCCGTTCCAATTCCTCCAATTGCCAGCTACTAAAGTTGGTCCTGCTTCTCCGCCTTTTGCTCCCACCTTCGTCGGACTCGCCGTCACAGCCTGAAAATTATGAACACGTCGATATTAATACGTTTTTGTCGCGCACGCATAACAGAATTCAGTTAGCGTCATAACCAGCGGGATTTCAGAATTTTAATTCTGAATCTATTATGGGATGCTTAATAAATTACGAAATAATGCGAGGCTGGAAATAATGAGCAACACATATTTTTGGAAGAAGCTTTTCCTTTCTATCCCTGGTAAAGCGAAGAGATGTCGATGGAAAAAATTAGACGGTATTTTAGAGAGTTTATTAGAATATGGACTGTTATGGAAGGTCTACGATTTATTTGGGGAAAAATTGTGTAATGGGAAGTGAAATTATTCGAGTAATTGGGTTGTATTTTCTTGAGGTGATAGGTTCTTTGTTGCTTTGGAAGATTAAGTCCCTTTATGGTTCTGCTTAGAATTATTTTCAGTAATAGTTTTTTAAACAAAATTACTTTTAGAGGTACTAGATGTACAAGAGGAGGTCTTCTGAGGAAGACTACCCTTGGTTGATCAATTTTTTCAGTTGTAAATTTGTTTAAATTTAAATATTTGCAAAATGTAGTTCTGCATTTGTTGCAGATTCAGACATTTGGTATTTAAAAATTTTGAAAGTTGATATTGCAATTAGTAACATTTATCAAAAATATAGAAAGTAACGTTCACAAAAACATCACAGAACCAAAAATCAAACAAACACTTTCCTCCAAACCTTCAAAAATACTTATATTCAAGGCAGCAAGAAGACATGAAAAGGGTATTCCAACATTCAAAAGTTCCTCCATAATAACCACTTGTAAATTTCCCGTAATTATCTCGAATACCAAATGTAATTATAGTAGCAATACTATACTAATCGTTGCCTCGGTGTGACACGCTTTTGCCACAGAATTAAGTGGGATCATTATCATCGGTGTCAGGTTCATTATGCAACTCATGCATTATCAGCATCCTCGAAGAGGACAGAACGAGTGACTGTCCATAAAAGTAGATTAAGACGGCTATCGGTGACATCGGGCCGGACGTGAAAATTATTTCAAACGTCTCCTTATAAATTATTTAACGTTCTATCTCCGTCGTATGATGGAGATCAATCGTGTGTCACGATTGATGATCGTTTTTTGTAATATCACGATGTGGACAGAGAAAAATTGTGGTGGATTATTTTTGCTTTGAAGAGAAAATGGGGACAATTGAACTGTATGAAATAACGTGAAATGACGTGAGTAGCGATGAGAAATTTAGAGGTGGTGTGTGAGGTATGACGCACGCGTGACGCACTCACGACACACTTGTGACGCACTCGCAGTTCAAGTATTGTACATTTTTCTGATATTTTTGGCACGCGTGAATTTTCCATTTAGGTGTACTCGTGACGCACTCGTGACGCACTTGCAGTTCAAGTATCGTCAATTTTTCTCACATTTTTGGTACGCGAGAATTTTCAATTTGGGTGGAATAATTTACATACGGATGTCCCACGAGATGGCGCGTCAGCTATGACGCACTCGTGACGCACTCGCAGTTCAAATGTAAATTTGAGATTTGGGAGTCTGAAAATTGAGATGTTGGAAAAATTTAGAAATTTTTGAATACAGAAGTTTGAGAATTTGAGATTTTGGGAAATTTCAGATTTGGGGACTTTGGGATTTGGAGGTTTTTCTATTTAGGGAAATTTGGGATCTGGAAAATTTAGCATTTAGGGATTTAGAAATATAAGGATTTAGGAATCTAGGGATTTAAGGATCTAGGGATCTAAGAATGTAGGAATGTAGAGATCTAGGAATTTTTGGATCTAGAGGCTTTCGGAGTTAGGGATATTGGAATCTAGGGATTTAGAGATGTTGGTACATGGAAAATATGAGAATTTGGGATTTTTGAACTTTTGGGGACTTAGAAATTTTAAAGTTTGCAAGATTGATACTTTGGGACTTGAAAATTTTGATATTTGAGGACTTAGAGACTTTGTACTTGGACTCTTTGAGAATCTAGGGATTTTTTAACTTTTGAGGATTTAGAAATTATTGAAATTGCAAGTTCAGAAGTTTGATACTTTAGGAATTTGAAAATTTGAAATTTTGGGGATTTGAAAGTTTGGAGATTTAGGAACTAAAAAATTTAAAGATTTGGGGACTCAGAAATTTAGTACAACTTGTGTGACTACAAAAAATATCAGAAAAATTTGCAATATTTATTCTGTAAGTGCGTCGCGAGTGCGTCACGAGTGCGTCATCGCTCACGCATTAATATCGAATATTTAACAATTTGAGGGATTTTTGGAAATTTATAAATATCAGTGTTTGCAAGTTTCGCAGTGTAAAATATTTCAAATTTAGAAATTTGGGAATTTCGAGAACTTAATTTCTAAATTAAAAATTTCTTTAGTAAATTAAGGTTTTAAAAAAAAAGGCTTGAAAAAAAAAATTCTGAAATTTCTAAAGATAGAAATTAAAAAATATGAATATGTAATAATTGAAAAGTTTGAGAACCTCCCTAAAAAACTTGAAAATCAGTATCTCTGAAAATGTACGCATAAAAAAATCTGTGTTCGATACTTAACTACCCTATCACCTTGATACTCCATAAATAGCAAACCCAAAAAATTTCATAGCAATTTGCACACTTCCCATTTCTCTTCCCATCCCCATTTCGTTAATATTTCCCGAATATTAACACGTTCAATACCCAATTAATCTACTAACCAAAGAACCATAAAAAGACCCCATAGAATAGCGCCATTCCATAAAGACTCCTTGATACAGTCGTTCATAGAAATATCGGTACATAAATGCGGAAGCCAGCATTTTCCGCGAGCAAATGGAGAAGCTTATCAGAATGGTATCAGCACGATCAGTCCTCGGATAAAGCAAGGAAACTGAATCCGGGCATATTGAATAAACATGGAATTTTAGTGATTTTACGAGAACCCTCGTCCTACAGTCTCCCTCTATCTCGAAATCTGCGGCATCCAGGATTGTTTTGGCAGACATCGGGCTTAGATACGTATGCTAATACACGAACCGACGGAATTGAAAAAAGATCGGCAATTATGATTGACTCGGCAATAGAGCGATCGTTATCCGGCGCACGGAATGAAATAACACGGGATGAAACATTTCCTGAGATCGAGATTGGCCAACCGTTTGCCAGCCTTTCGGAGTTTCATTTTCTTGCGGAAACTTCGATGAAATTGTTAATAAACGGCGAACGTAATCGAGGAGCTTTTATTTGTTCGCTTGATATACGATAACGCGCGTAATATCGTACGGGTAATCAAATTTTCAATTTCATCGGAAATTAACTGCTGCGCAACAATTTACAATGCGCGGGAAAGATTCATTTTTAGGCGTTTATACGAGCTTTTCATTCGTGATTGCTTTTGATTATGAACAAACGGGTGATTCTGTTTTTTTGGTTCTTTTAGAAAATTTCTTTGTTACGATTCTTTGTTGAATTATTTTAATGAAGAATCAGAAGAAATAGTGGTAACAAGATGAACCGCAATATGGATGTGATATACTGATGTCAACCCAAGTTGGTGCGCGAGTGCCAACTCGTGGGACATACATAAATAATTATATCCAAGTTGAAAATTCATGCGTGACAAAAACTTACAATTTTTTAATTGAAAGTTTATGACGCACGTCAAGAATGCGTCATAAGTGTCATGAATGCGTCATGGGTGCGTCACGAGTACGTCGTGAAAATTCAAGCTATCCAAAAATTTGAGAAAAATTTTCTTAAATTTCTAAATTTCTGAAACCCTAAATTCTCAATTTTCCCAATTTTCAAATTTCTAAATTTCTACATTTTCAAATTTCTAAAACCTCAAATTTTCAAGTCCTCAATTCTCAATTTTCCCAATTCTCAAATTTCCAAATTTCTAAAACCCCAAATTCTCAAATCCCCAAATCTCAAATTTCCAAATTCCTACATTTTCAAATCTCCAAAACCCTAAATTCTCAAATCCCCAAAATCTCAAATTTTTCAATTCCCAAATTTCCAAATTTCCAAATTCCAAAATCCCTAAATCCCCAAATCTCAAAATTCCAAAATCCCCAAATCCCCAAATCCCCAAATCTCCAAATCCCCAAATCCCCAAATCCCCAAATCCCCAAATCCCCAAATCCCCAAATCCCCAAATCCCCAAATCCCCAAATCCCCAAATCCCCATAGAACCCCAAATTCTCAAATCCCCAAATCTCAAATTTCCAAATTTCTACATTTTCAAATCTCCAAAACCCTAAATTCTCAAATCCCCAAAATCTCAAATTTTTCAATTCCCAAATTTCCAAATTTCCAAATTCCAAAATCCCTAAATCCCCAAATCTCAAAATTCCAAAATCCCCAAATCCCCAAATCCCCAAATCTCCAAATCCCCAAATCCCCAAAATCTGAATATTTTCAATTCTCAAATTTCCAAATTTCCAAAACCCCAAATTCCAAACTCTCCAATTCCCAAAATCCCCAAATCCCTAAATCCCCAAATCCCCTCAAACCTGCAACCTTCAAAACACCCACCTTTCCAAAACCCCAAAAGTCCCCAAATTCCGAACTAACAAAATCTGAAAATCCTTCATTAAACCTCGTACGAGGCTCAGCAACCTGTCGGAAGGCAGCACATTACAAAAACCCAAACAACGATAATACCTACGTTTGTCGCAGGAAAAGCCTGGTAAATGTTGGTTCCTATAATCAGGAACTGGCCAGTTCCCTGACAGATTATGAATACAAATTACCCTCGGCGCCAACATAATTTTAATGCCTGGCTAATTTATTGCGATCGCATCCACTTTGCGGTCTTGAGTTTTCATTGGTAGCTCGGGGAACTGGTGTTTAAGCTAATTGTCGTTGCACGTGAGAAGCAATCGATGAATATAGAGCGAAACGTCTTCGACCCTGACAATATCTCGTCAAACCCCAGATAAAGAAGCGATCGTTTCGAGAATACGGTGGATTACGAACAAAACATTGAATCGCAAATAGTAGAAGATTACTGTTCTTCTACGGTG